GCTCACCCACCCGCCGCTCCACCAGCGAGTAGGACACCAGCGCGTTCTCCTGCGCGTCCGCGTCCTGGGCTGACACCGTGAAGATGTGGCAGCCCGGCGGGTTGTTCTCCTTCACGAACACCGTGTACTCGGGCTGCGCGAACGTGGGCGCGTTGTCGTTCACATCGGCCACCTCCACGGACACACTGGCTGAGGCCGACAGGGCAGGGGCGCCCCCGTCCCGCGCCGTCACCACCAGATCATAGGCCGGCACGCTCTCGCGGTCTAGGGCTCCGTCCAGCACCAGCGAGTAGTAATTCTTGAAGGTGGACACAAGCTTGAAGGGGGTGTTGGATGTTAGGAAACAAGTTACCTGCCCATTGACGCCAGAGTCGCGGTCAGACACTGTTATTAGAGCAATGACAGTGCCCAGCGGAGCGTCCTCTCTAACAGGGAGTGATAGAGATGTCACCACCACCTCAGGAGCATTATCATTGACATCCAAAACTTCTACCAAGACTGTGCAATGACCAAACATTGGGGGATTTCCTTTGTCAACTGCTTCTATTTGAATCTTGCATAATTTAGCTTCTTCAAAATCTATTTTTCCTCTTACTTTTATTTCTCCGCTTGTTGAATCAATGCAAAAAGAGGCTTTTGTCTTAGGGGAAATATCATTTGCGAAGGAATAAATAATGTTACTGTTTGAGCCTTCGTCCAAGTCTGAGGCGTTTAGTCGAATAACCAGTGTGCCATTTCTTGCGTTTTCCAGTAATTTCACATGATAGATTGTTTTGTCAAAAACTGGGGCATTGTCATTTACATCCAACACTGTAATATGTAGCTCTGTGGTTCCTGTCAGCTCAGGTTTACCCCTGTCAGTTGCTTTTAGCACCAAAGAAAGCTTTGAAGCGACTTCCCTGTCTAAAGATTTTTTTAGTACTAGCCTCAGCGGTTTTACCTGCTCGTCATTGGCTGGTACATCCAGCGAGAAATATTCACTGGGGCTCAGTCTGTAAGTCAGCAGAGCATTCTCTCCAACGTCCGCATCAGAGGCGCCCTCTAGCGGAAAATGGGAGTCAAGGGCCCTAGTTTCGGAAATCAGCAGATTCCTTTGTGTGGCTGGGAACACTGGCGCGTTGTCGTTAATGTCCTTCACCTCCACCTCCACGTGGAAGACCTGCAGCGGCTTGTCCACGATCACCTCCAGGTGGATGCTGCACCCCGCGCTCCGCCCGCACAGCTCCTCGCGGTCGATGCGAGAATTCACAAACAGAATGCCGTTCTGCAGATTCACCTCCAGAAGGTCCCCGCGGCCTTTGGACGCCACTCGGAACAGGCGCGGCACCAGCTCCGCCAGCTCCAGCCCCAGGTCCTGCGCGATGCGGCCCACGAACGTGCCGTGTTTGGCCTCCTCGGGCACCGAGTAGTGGACCTGGCCGCTCCCCGCCTCCCAGGCTGCCAACAAGAGAAGCGACAGCAGCAGGCGCTGGGTTTCCTGAGCACCAGGTCTTCCGGAAGCTAACGTCATGCCTCTCTTCTAGCAGATAATTATTTCATGAGTAGAAAAATGTAGTCTTTCGGAGATCTTTCCTTTCATTCCTTGTTTCTGAGATCCCAGATGATCTAACAATATGGATGTGCTGTATAGCCCTTTAAGCTGCGGAGCTGCGAGCTTCTCTCTGGTCCCAGGGTAACAGTGATACTCTATTAAAGAACCTCTCCTTGTAGAACAACGACCTCCTGTGGCTCAATATGTAAGTGCTTTTGCTTTTGCTTTTACTTAACTTTTCTTTATTGTACGTTCTCTCTTATTTCTCTAGCATTTGTCTCTCTTTTTGTTGTAGTTGTTGATTTTAAAAGACTTTCACTATATCTCCATTGTGTTAAAAGTAATTCTTATCACACAAATTAGGACTGCCAAGAATTATATATTGATTTCTAACAGTCATCCTACTCCACCAACTATAGAATGTCACATATAACTATTTAAAACTCTGTCGGTGTAAGTTAATAACGATACTGGTTTATTGGAGAGAGGTTTAGACTTTAAGAAACTGATCATTTTATTTAATGATCTCTTAAAAGTCTATTCTGTTCCTAATTTCTATTCCTTAGTGTTCAATACACTTGATTTGATTGTAGGGATAGTAATTCAAAATATAAAATTTTCAGATTTTCTTCAAGATATCAGGACTTTAAATCAGTTCTGACAGGTAAGCTACTTACCAATGTATAATCTTAAGTCATTTTCTCATCACTGACTTCCTGGAAAAACAATATCCTAAGACTTTGTCTCATTTTAAAGCTTTTAACTACTCAGAGCAAACGTTTCCATTTCCCTCCTTAAAACAAGATATATTTACTGTAGATGTTCATTGAAATGAAAAATAAACAACCTAAATTAAAAAAAACAAAAACAAAAAAAACAAGATATATTTAAATTTTTTAAGTAGGGTGTAGAGTGAATTACATTTATTGCTTACTTGACAAAGTGGAATGTTGAACAAAATATAAAGCACGATGTAGAACAAATGATAGTCACTTTGTTCAACAAAGATAAAAATGTCTGTCTTGTCCAAAAGAACCACACTGAACCAAGAATTAAAACTATACTCATCTGCTTCCTTATACCTATTCTATTCCAGTAATGGTTGAAGAAAACTAGAGTGCACGTTTTTATAATTTAAATTTGCATCATAATTTTTCCAATGTACAAATAATTTTTACAACATGGTGATAAAACATATTAATGCTGTCTGGAAGGAAAAAGTTTTACACTTCCCCAAGACAATGAAGAAAAATAACAATATGTGAAAACTTTCTGATAGAATGATGTTGCTAGGTGCCATCAAGTCAAATACGACTCAGTGATCCTATGAGCAGAAGATCTAAACCCTGTTCTATCCTGTGCCATCTTTATACTTCCTAACACACAAAAACCCATTCCTGCAGTCGCAATATCAATCCACCTGGTTGAAGGTCTTCCTCTCCTTCACCGACCCTCTACCCTTCCCAGCATCATGTCCTTCTCCAATGAACAGCCCCTCCTAGCAACAAGCTCATAGTATGTGAGGTAAAGCCTCATCATTCTTGCCTCCAACGAGCACACCAGTTGCACCCTCTCCACGATATATCTGTTTGTTCTCTTGGCTATCCATAGTATGTTCAGTGCTCTTCTCCAACACCACAGCTCAATGTTATCACTTCTTTTTCTATCATAATGTCAAGGTCTCATATTCATAGCAAGTGATCAGAAAGACTATGGCCTGAATCAAATGCATCTTAATCTTCATACTGACATCATTACTCCTCAATAATTTGAAGATGTTCCTAAGTGCAGAATTTCCCAGTGTAATGCATCTCCTTATCTTCTGACTTCTGGTACCAAGGGTGTTAATTTTGGATCCAAGCAAGAAGAAGCAAGCAGGATTTAGAAGAGTCCATGGCACCAGGGATATCATTGCTCATGTGAGATGGATCCTGGTTGAAAGTAAAGAATACCAGAAGAATGTCTATTTGTGCTTTATTGGCTATGCAAAGGCATTTGACTGTATGGATCATAACAAGTTGTGGCTGACATCGAGAAGAATGGGAATCCCAGAGAACTTAATTGTGCTCATGGAAAAACTATACCTGTACCAGAAGGCTGTGTACAAACAGAGCAGGGAAATGCTGCATGGTTTAAAGTTGAGAAGGAAGTGTTTCAGGTTTGCATTCTCTCTCCATACATTTTCAATCTGTATGCTGAGCAAATTATTAAAGAAGCTGGATTCTGAAGAGGAATGTGGCATCAAGATTGGAAGGATATTCATCAATAACATGCATTATGCAAATGAAACAATCTTGCTTGCTGAAATTGAGGAGGAATTGAAGAACTTGATGCAGAAGATCAAGGAATGCAGCTTTCTGTATGACTGCATCTCAATGTCAAGAAGACACTAATTTTTAGCCCTGGACCGATAGGCAACATCATGATGAATGGAGAGACTGAAACTGTCAGCAGCTTCGTCTTGCTTAGATAGAATGATAGCCACTAAGAAAACCCTAAGTTTAACAACTGGGGGGGAGGGGTAATTACAAATTAGTATCTAAGGGAATTTAAGGTTTCACAAAAAGAGGAGCATCAATTTTTCATTTTTAACACTTAAAAATGAAGATTCAGTGACAATAAGTCTATAACATATAGTTCTAATCTGTTTTAATTAATTCTGAAAAACTAATTGTAGAAAAAACTACTGCATTTTTAAAAATCAAGATAAAGCTTTAGAATGTTATCGCAGTTTAAAAGAAAAATAACTTAAAAAATTCCCCATGTTTTCTAATTAGATAAATCAACCCCTTTAGGAGTGACTCTCAGCTTAATTTCCACAATTAAAGTACACCAAAAAACCTGGTATTGGCTAGTCCTCTTGAAACAGACTTTCACAAATACTATGGCAAAAAAAGCACTAGTGACCTTCCATGATTAGCTTTATTCTAGTGGCATCTACTAAGGAGCATGTTAAACACAGTTATTAGAATTATATGTTTTGCTAGGTCTGGCTGCTCAGGATCATACCTTGAGGTACATCAAAGTCAAGTGGCATAACATAGTCCACATAGGCAATGTTCTACATCTTACTAACAACAGCATTCATTTGAAGCATGTTAATATTTTCTTTTCCCTGAAATTAGAAATTCTTTTAAACTTCTTTTCATTATTAAACATAATGATCCTTCCTGAAAGTTGCAAGAGTTAATACTTGAATGTCATAAACAATATTTTATTATTCATAAAGGAGCATATAGTTGATAGTTTCTATCTAAAATTGTGCAAATAATTATTAAATACACTTTTCCTTCTTCCAAGAAAAAGAAACACTGTAAATTGTATATAGATAGTGTAGCTACTGCTACTCTTAAGAACGTGTAAAAGCTCAAAATAGCGGACTTGATTCTTATAGCGGACTTGATTCTTAAGAGAAGAGGTTTCTTTTTCAAGCTGATGTATTTCCAGTCTACTGAGGACAAAGATTCTTCATTGAAAACTGATGATCTAATATGGCTTACAAAATATGTAGAATTACATAAAGTCAATAGTTTGGTGAGCAAAGCTCATTTTTGCCATAAAGAGATGTTAAGTCCAGTATTGTTAATTCATGTAATAAATGTCATTCCAAAATGTGTATTTTTTTTTGATAGAATTCTTTTTTTTTCTATAATTATATTTTATAAATAGGTGTCTCACAGTAAAATATTCCTTAAAATACATCTTACAAATATTTGTAAAAGGGAATAGTTACAAGAGTAAATATTTTGAGCAGAACACTATGACAGAATCAACCAGTGAAAAAAGCATCCATATGGGAAGAATGATAAACCCAGAAGTTGCTTCTCAAATGTGGAACAACTCATAGAGCATGAAGGAGAAATTACAGGACTTCATGGATTTTGAGGAGAGAAAAATGCAGAGGAAAAGGAAGGAAAGAAGTAAAAAAGTTCCTGGGAAAAGATTACTTGGAATTTCTTTTAAATAGGAATTCAGTTGCCTGAAAACATGGACCCTAGCACTGATTATTTTACTAAAGGGATTGATGCAATTGATTGCGGGTGGCAACTTGAAAGCAGTGAGATGTTACTGTGCAATATAAGAAGAAATTGGCCATGTGTACAACTCAATAATTTCCAGACTTGAAATATAATCTTCTTGGGAATTATTAATTTATTTTGAAAAAAGATGCCAATCTTGTTTAACTCTTCTCCATCTTTTAAGAAAACTATTCATGTTTATATTTTTATCAGTATTAAAATCTACCTATACGTTTATATGTTATTTTCCAACCTCCAAAGAAAAAGATAAGCTTTGTAAAGATACTGATAAAAATAAAAGGCAAGAGGAAACAAAAACTAGAACAAAAAATATATTGACACTAGAACCAATATATGTAACAGTCATCAGGAAGGGAAATCTGGTAATAAATTGGGTGGTTGTTGTTGTTCTAGTTGCTAGGTGCTATTGAGTCCAGTACGACTAATAGCAACCCTATGAATCAAACATCTGAACCCTATTCTATCCTGCACCATCATCACACTTCCTGACACACAAGAGCCCATTCCAGCAGTCACCATATCAGTCCACCTGGTTGAGAGTCTTCCTCTCCTTCACTGACCTTCCACCCTTCCCAAGTATATGAGACAAAGCCTCATCATTCTTGTCTCCAAAGAGCACTTCAGTTGCACCCTCTCCAAGACTTACCTGGTCTCTTGTCCGGTCCATAGGATGTTCAGTGCTCTTCTCCAACACCACAGCTCAAAGGCATCAATTCTTTTCCTGTCAGCCTAAGTCATTATGTAAGTCTCAGATGCATAGCAAGTGATTGGAAATACTATTACCTGAATCAGATGCACCTTAGGCCTCAAACTGTCATCAGTACCCATAATTTGGAAAAGTGCCAACTGCAGATTTTCTCAGTGCAATGCATTTTATTTTCTGACTGCTGGAACCAACGGTGTTAATTGTAAATCCAAGCAAGATGACAATTTCAATCTCCTCTCCATTCATCATGATGCTGCCTGTAGATCCAGTAGTAAGATTCTTTGTTTTCCTGACATTCAGATGCAATGTCTATTTGTGCTTTATTGACTGTGCAAAGACATTTGACTATATGGATCATAACAAGCTGTGGCTAACATTGAGAAGAATGGGAATACCAGAGCACTTGATTGTGCTCATGTGGAACCTATACATGGACCAGGAGGCTGTTGTGCCAATGGAACACGGGAAGACTACATGATCTGGAATTGGGAAGGGTTGTATCCTCTCTCCATACCTGTTCAAATTGTACGCTCAGCAAATTATCTGAGAAGCTAGACTCTGTAAGGACAAGAATGGCATCAGGATTGGAGGGAGATTCATCAACAACCTACGTTATACCAATGACACAACCTTGCTTGCTGAAATATGAAGGACTGGAAGCACTTGTTACAGATAATTAAGAAATGCACCGTTGGGTATGGCTTGCATATCAATGTCAGAAAAACAAAATAAATTCGGTACAATCTCTAAATTGCAATAGGTGCTAGGAGGAATATTAAAGAGTAAACAAACAGCAAACATGATGCAAAATAGACATACTCCTTAAATTATAGTCTAGAAAAATGCATTGAGAGTAAACACAAAACAAATTTGAAAATAAAAATGCAAGAACCCACCTTCCCAGTCTGGTCTCCTGCAATATCCTGTTCTCCTACTTCAGCATTAGGCATTGGACACGGAGGTAGGCTGGGGCTGAAGGCCATGAGGTCGGTCTTGGGCGGCCCCTCCCCAGAGCACACCCTCTGCCTCCTCTGCTGGGAGCATGACCAGCTCCCCACCGCGCTCGAACACACCAGCCTCGGCTT